GTGCTGGGATTACAGACTTGCATCACCACACCTGGCAGTACTTTTGTTTTGTTTTGTTTTTTCTGGTACCAGGAATCGAACTCACAACCTTGTGCTTGCCAGGCAGGTGCTGTGCCGCTGAGCTAAATCCCCAGCCCCAAAGAGAATGTTTTTTGTTTTTTTTGTTTTTTGTTTTTTTCTGGTACGGGAATTGAACTCATAACCTCACGCTTGCCAGGCAGGTGCTGTGCTGCTGAGCTAAATCCCCAGCCCCAGTACTTTTGACATGATCAATAAATATTTGACCCAGAGGAGAACTTTTCCATCTCTAAGAAAAGTCACTATAGATGACACATTTACACTGCCAACAGCAATGAACAATCTGATGCCTCCCTGCATGAAAATCCAGAACATTCTTGATTTACATGCTGGGAACCTCAGCTCTACGCACATTCTTAATATCTTGTCACTTGAATCAGTTAATTTTAGAAAAGGGCTGCATTTTTGCTTATTGTTCTGAGGGACGTCTTCAACTAGAATGAGATTACCAATGTGCCACTAATAAAAAAAACACTGTTTACTGACTGTTAACTATGTACTAAGAGCCAACCCATGCAGTACTTTAAGTACTTTTTTTGGGAGTACAGGGATTTGAACTCAGGACCTTGCACTTGCCAGGCAGGCGCTTATGCACTGAGCTATACTCCCCACCCCAGTACTTTTTTTTGAGGGGTTCAGTGTTTCCCAGGCTGGCCTTGTGTACTTTTTTTTGAGGGGTCTGCTGTGTTTCCCCAGGCTGGCCTTGCACTTGTGATCCTTTTGCCTCAGTCTCATGAACAGATACCATTTGGGGGCAACGTGAGGGTCAGAAAGAGATGTTCTCAGGTACCCAATGTGGGACCAGGGCTTAAAATTTGCAAAGCAGTGTTGTTTGTTTGCTTTTTCTTTTTGAGACAGGGTCTCACTATGCAGTTCAAGATGGCCTTGAACTTACTTATGTAGCCAAGGCTGGCCTCAAACTTGCAAGGATCCTCCTGCCTCAGCCTCCTGCGTGCTGGAATTACAGGCATGCACCATCATGTCTGGCTTGTTTGTTTTTTTTTGTTTTTTTTTTTTCCTGTCTTTTTGAGACAGGGTCTCAATATGCAGCTCAGGCTGGCCTTGAGCTCACTTTGTAGCCCAGGCTGGTCTCAGAACTCACAACGATCCTCCTGCCTCAGCCTCCCGAGTGCTGGGATTACAGGCGTGAGCCACCGCACCTGGCTGTTTGTTTGTTTTTTGAGACAGGGTCTCACCATGTAGCCCAGGTTGGCCTTGCTCACAGTGATCCTCCTGCCTCACCCTCCCGAGTGCTGGGATTACAGGCTGCCTCTTAAATCTTCCCCCTACCCCTCAATTCCCTTTGTGGCCTCTAGCATTTGCCACACAAAAGATTCTATCACCAACTGATTTGATCCCTTCCCTGGCCTCAATTTCTTCATTTGGAAAACACTGTCTCAAAAAAGCTGAGCTCCCTGAGGCTCTTTCAGTCCTGATGTTATTTGTGTCTCATGTAGAAACTGTTTCAGACATACAGGTTCAGGCAAAGGGTAACACTCTTAAGCCTGCTGGATGCTAGATACTTTATAAGGATGACCTTTTCAATCTTTAACAATCCTGAGATGCATCCTATCTTGTCACCCTCATTTTACAAGTGAAGAAACTGAGCCTTGAAGAGGTCAAATGACATGACCAAGGTCACCCCTCCAAAAATGCCCAAGTTAGCTGGGTGTGGTGGTGCACGTCTGTAATCCCAGCACTCAGGAGGCTGAGGCAGGAGGATTGCTACAAAGTTCGAGACCAGCCTGGGCTACAAAGTGAGCTCAAGGCCAGCCTGAACTGCATAAGGAGACCCTGTCTCAAAAAGATAAAAAACAGCCCAAGTTAGATTTGCTAGTGCCAGGCAGACATCAGACTCATTTCATGATGTTGGCTTTCTCCCTCATTATCAGGCAGTCTGGGTGATGGGCACGTGCCCATCCCCTCTCTCCAAGCTGTCCTAAAGCCCCAGTGAATGACGCTCTAACATCTCCGTGCCTAACAGAACTCTGCAGCTTCAATCTCGGGCTGCTGGGCAGGAGGGAGCCCTGCTTCCTTTCCACAGGTGGGAGGACAGGTGGTCTCACTTCTCTGAGCATACATCGTCCTGACCGCTGCAGGGGTGGGAAATGGGGAAACAGAATAATGAGATAATGGTCTGGTAGGACAAGCAGGTAAGCACTAGGTTGTAAGTGCACAGGGCAAAAGGGCAGAGATAGGGGAAGTACAGTGCCCTGGATGGAGGGAGGAGCCAGCCAGGGCCAGTCAGGGGTGGCTAAACCTGTCTCAGCCCAGAGCAGGGACAAACAACAGCACCGTGCACATGGCCCAGGCAACCTCCCTTTCCCAGGATGCCACCAGTGTGGTGCAAAGTGCAGGGTGCATCAGGAGAGCTGGGTCCCAGATCCACGGCTACCTCCACACAGCCTGGACAGCGACCTTGGACAACCCCCATCCTCTCTTGGGCGTCTGCCGGCCCATCAGTACAGTGAAGGGTGGGGAAGCCAACAGTCTACACAGCCAGAGCCCGTGGGGGTCCCCAATGACCCCCCAACTTCCTGAGAGAGGGGCTGCCTGAGGGAGGTGCTAGAGCACAATCCCAGGCAAAGGCCTGAGGAATGGGTTGCTATCCTCCACCCTCTCCCACTCTCCAGGACCCAGGACCTGTCCCTCCCTCTAACCCCAAGTCTCATTCTCCCCCACCAAGACAAAGGCCCTGCCCGTACTGGTCTCACCTCCCTATTCTATCCCAGACCCTCCCCAGGCCTGGGTCTCCGCCCCGCCTCTAAACCTTGGGATCCAAGTCCAGGAATCCCCACCCTCGCCCCCAGCCCCTCCTCTTCGCGCGCGACCGCCCCCACCCCTAGCTCTCACCGGGCAGCAGCCACACCCGCGGCCGCGGCGACCCCCGCGCTGGGTCGCGGGCTGCCCAGCAGCCGCCGCGTCGCCGCAGAGATGCTGCAAAGCCGCGGAGCCATGTTGGAGCAGCGTAGGTTAGAGGAAGGCCCCGCCCCCGCTGCCGAGTTCGAGGAGGGGCGCGTATGGGCCCCGCCCCTGCGGCTCGCCCTCCTTCCTCTGTGCGCAGGCGGGTGGGCGTAGCAGCCCTGCTGCCTGTAACTCGTAGATGCTGGGCAGAAATCCGGATGCAGTTGCCTGAGCCCCAGCAGCTCTGCAGCTGACTCGCTCCGTTACATTAAGCCAGCCTTTTCCCATTCAGAGCCCCAGTGCTCTTCTCGGTGAAATGGGAACATCAAAAAATAATACCTAGGGGCCGGGCGCGGTGGCGCACGCCTGTAATCACAGCACTCGGGAGTGAGGCTGAGGCAGGAGGATCCTTGCGAGTTCGAGACCAGCCTAGGCTACCAAGTAAACTCAAGGCCAGCCTGAACTGCATAGCGAGACCCTATCTCAAAAAGACAAAACAAAACAAAACAAAATCTAGGATTTCAAGGATGAGTCGAGGAGGATCAGTAAGCCCCTTGAAATTCTGGACAGTTACAAAGGCCAGTTAGGCGTGGAGGCACATGCTTGTTATCCCAGCATTCTGGGAAGCCGAGGCAGGAGGATCATAAGTGTGAACCCAGCCTCAGCAGCTTAGCCACTTGGCGAGACCCCCTCTCAAAAAAAAAAAAAAAAAAAATTTAAAACGGCTGAGGATGAGTCTTAATGTGAAGTCACAGCGTTCATTCCCCATTCTGGTGGTGGGGATCAAACTCAGGCCCTCACACATGGGAGACAAGTACTCTACTACTGAACTGTACCCACAGTCCCTACCCCATGAGTTCTGCGCGGGCAGGATGTCCGCTGGCAGTGGTTATCACATTATCAAAGAAACAGCCTCTAACAATTTAAGAGAGAGGCAAAGCTCTGGGCACCCAGAATGCTTTCTTTTACCAACGTTTGCTTTTACAGCCTTCTCAGTCTTCTCTACCGGAGCCTCCTAGAACTTCGCGTCCTCCTTTTTTCCACGCCCAACTCCTTGCTTTTCAAACCAATCCCTTCTCAGCCCGCAGTCCTGCAGATCACAGACATGGACGCAGAGCCTGCAGACCCCGCGGAGGAGGGGGCAGGGACACAGACATACGGTATCCCTAGAGAATGTCCACCCACACACTGGTAGTTCCTCCTATGCTTGGGATAAGAGAGTGGAGGACATTCTTTAATGTCATGACTCCTGCAAATATTGAGTTTTGGGCCGGGAGTGGTGGCACACGCCTATAATCCCAGCATTTGGGAGGCTGACGTAGGAGGATCCTTGCAAGTTTGAGGCCAGCCTGGGCTACAAAGTGAACTCAAGGCCAGCCTGAACTGCAGAGTGAGACCCTGTCGTAAAAAGATCCAAAAAAAAAAAAAAGAAAAAGAAAAAGAGTCTACCTGGCTAAGTACTTCGCCACCTTCTGAGACACCAGAGGTTGGCAGACCCACAACACTTTCAGGAGTCAGGGCTTGGTGGGGCAGACAAACACCAAGTCACCACTGACTTCCAGCCCCTCCAGGACAAAGGTTTTATCCACTCATCATCCTTCCCTCAACTCTCCTGCCTGACACATTAAGTATTTACTGCGTAAGTGAAAAATCTGCACAGAAATGTGTTTGCCAATTGTGAAAGGGACAACAGGGAAGTATGAAAAGGACTTCTAGTGGGAGTGAGGGACAAGGGAAGAGCTAAGCAGACTTCAAATGTCTGTTATGACTTCTGTAAGGAAGTTAGGTTTGAACTAGGATTTTTCTTCTTGAGCTTTCTAATGCTGCTACAATCAAAATGTATTATTTGTGTGATTTATTTAAAAAGGAACCGTATATCAACACGATTTTGGTTTTGGTTTTTTGAGACAGAGTTTTACTATGTATTCCAGGCTGGCCTTGAACTCACTATGTAGGTATGGTGATCCTCCTGCCTCAGCCTCCCAAGTACTGAGATTACAGGTGTGCACCACCATGCCTGGCTAATTGGAAACCAGAATCAATTGTTATAAACAGACAAAATCATCAAAATAAATTAGAATGAGAACAGTGGTGTTGATACTCCACTGTAGCTAAAACAGAAACCTGCAGTTTGAACCCTGTATAAATAAAGTAGCCAGGCATGATGATGCATGCCTGTAATCCCAGCACTTAGGAGGCTGAGGCAAGAGGATTGCTGCAAGCTCACAGCCAGCCTGGGCTACATAACAAGACCATGTCTCAAACAACAACAAAAAACAAGACTTTAAAAAAAAAAAAAAAAAAAAAAAAAAGGATACTCTTCCGCCGCTATTTTAAATCTAGCTCCATACAACGCTCCCTTGCCTCCAGCACCCCGCTCCCCGCTCCGAGCCCGACCGCGCGCCCGCTCGCCCCTACCGACCGCTCCGCCACCATGGAGGACCTGAACAAGTACAGCAGTATAGAGGAGTTCGCCGCGCGGTGCAAGATCAATGAGAGCAAGAACCAGCAGGATGACGGTAAAATGTTTATTGGAGGCTTGAGCTGGGATACAAGCAAGAAAGATGTGACTATTTGTCTCGATTTGGGGAAGTTGTAGACTGCACAATTAAAACAGGCCCAGTCACTGAAAGATCAAGAGGATTTGAATGTGTGCTTTTCAAAGATGCCGCTAGCGTTGATAAGGTTTTGGAACTAAAAGAATACAAACTGGATGGCAAATTGATAGACCTCCAAAGGGCCAAAGCTTTAAAAGAGAAAGAACCCCCTGAAAAGGTGTTTGTGGGTGGATTGAGCCCCGATACTTCTGAAGAACAAATTAAAGAATATTTTGGAGCTTTTGGAGAGATTGAAAAATATTGAACTTCCCATGGATACAAAAACAAATGAAAGGAGAGGATTTTGTTTCATCACATACACGGATGAAGAGCCAGTCAAGAAATTGTTAGAAAGCGGATACCATCAGATTGGTTCTGGGAAGTGTGAAATCAAAGTTGCACAACCCAAAGAGGTATATCGGCAGCAACAGCAACAACAAAAAGGAGGAAGAGGCGCTGCAGCTGGTGGCCGAGGTGGTACTGGGGTCACGGCCGAGGTCAGGGCCAAAACTGGAACCAAGGATGTAATAACTATTATGATCAAGGATATGGAAGTTACAATAGTGTCTATGGTGGTGATCAAAACGACAGTGGCTATGGCGGATATGATTATACCGGGTGTAACTATGGGAGCTATGGATGTGGCCAAGGATATGCAGACTACAGCGATCAACAGAGCACTTATGCCAAGGCATCTCGAGGAGGTGGCAACCACCAAAATAGTTACCAGCCATACTACAGAGGAAGACATTGGAGAAAACAGGAGATGCTTAAGAAATCTTCCAGGACAGCACTGAAGATTGGTCTTCTGTTGCTCTAATGATTACGTAGTAAAAGACTTTCTAGTGTACAAGACACAACTGTGTCCAACTGTATATAGCCGCCAGTTAGTTTTCTTTGTTTTTACTTTGTCCTTTGCTGTGTGTTATGACTCTGTGGATTTGTGTTTATACAAATTTTATTTGTATGATTTCTCATGTTAAACCCCAAATAAATGCTTCCTTATGTGAAAAAAAAAAA